TAATTGAAATAATGGAAATAAGGGGAATCAGGCTAATCCTGGGAATCAGGCTGATCAGGCGAATCAGGGAAATCAGGAATTCTGTAGATCATTTGGCACAGTACTTATTACGTCGTCATTCCATAGGTCATCAATGATTGGCACAGTAAGGTTGATTTCAGATGTTGACAATATAGATCAGATTACATTATTGAATTTTATTATAATCGTATTTAAAAAAAATGTATAGGTTAAACTAATGTTGACAATTTGGCCTGACCAAAAGAAATTTTAATCATTTTGACTAGTCAATAACCAAAAATTTTATAATCTAATCAGAAATTTTATCGACTAAAAAATAGTCAAAAATATTTTTGGTCAGCCAAATGTCAACACTGGGCTAAACTATATATAAATTAGGTCAAATTATTAAATTTTAATATAATTTAGTTCAGAATTATATGTTTCAACTTTTATAAATTTTATCTTTTCTTAATAAAACATTTAAATTTTATGAATTAATAACTTTTGAATCAGATATCTAATTAAAATAATTTTAACATTAAATTATAATTAAAGTTGCTAGTTAAAATCTAAGGTTTAGCTAAATGTTTAAATGATAAAGATAAAACTTGGTTAAATTATATTAAAATTTTATTAAAAAATCTGCAAAATTTAGAAAAAAGTAAAATTATATTATATCAAAGCTTATAAAAATGGTAAAACTATATCAAATACTTAGTAAAAATTTAGTAAAACTAAAGATTTAAACATTTAGCTAAATTCAAAATGAGTTTAAACAAGTAACTTTAGTTGTAACTTTAGTTCAAACAATATTAAGATCTTTTAAATTTTATATTAAAAAGTTTTTTTTTTAAAATTAACAAATTTGTTTGATAATTTATTATGACACAAACTGTATTTATTTAGGAGAAAAATATACTTACTCCTAAAATTATTTGTAAGTTTTAACAAAAATTCAAACTTTATTATTACTACTGTTATTATTAAAATAATTATAATAATAATAATAATATTTGTATTTTTGTTTTTCATCAATTTTATTTTCATTTTTTTATTTTTTTGTTAATATATTATTAAAAATCTCTAGTTTTTCTTTTAGGATTTATTTTTAATAATATGAATTTTAATAATAAAAGTAGCAACTTCTTTCTTATTAAATAATTTACAAATTTCAATATCATTTAACTAAATGAAAAATCAGAATTTAAGCTAGTCTTTTTGTTAAATAATTACTTGAATTCCTTTCATAGATTTTTTATTTTATGTAAATATTTTTTATTACTAATAAGTTGATTTGTTTTATTTATAAATTATCTTTTTTTTAGTTCTATTTTATCAATTTTTGATCTATTTTTGATTTATAATTAATAATGCTATTCAAAATCTATTTTATTATATAACTTAAATTTAAAAACTTTTTCAAAACCTTTAAAACAATTTGTTGTAAATCTGAAATATAATTAAATTTAATTGAGTTTAGAAAAACCTTTTAGAAGTTTAGATAAAGATATTTATTATAAATAAATAGTTCAATCTAAATACCTTGAAACTTAAATTTTCTAAAATAGTTTAGGAAGGCATCTTTATTTATAATATAAAATTGATTTTTATAAGCTTTATAATAAAGTAAAAGTTAAATAAGAGTTTAATAAACAACCTGCAAAAAAATTCATTATAAAAAGTAAGCATTTTTTAAATGTTATTATAAATGAAAATTGATTATTTATTTGTTTTTTAATCAAAATAAAATTGTGATTATTAGAAGGATATGTTATTTAAATCTTTTTTATCTGAAATGGTGAACTGGTAAATATTTTTATAATGTTTTAATATAAGATGAAAATATTTATTTTATTTCAATATAAATAAAAGAAACAATATATTCTTAATATAAAATTCATTTAAACAATATCTTTTTATTAATAAGCAATGTAATATGATAATTGTTAATTATATTTGCATATAAAAGAATTTTCTTTATCAGTAAATCAATAATAATAAGATGTTCTTTCAGTAGATTTCTATCTTTTGTTAGATAATAATACATCTTTATTCTGTTTTCTTTTCTTAATGTTTATAATTTTTTTTTCTTGATAAATTTCATAGGTATTTTTTCTTTTCTTAGATAAACTTCTAGTAATTAAGTATTATTTATTTTAAACAAAAGAAGCAATTTTCTCATATTTTTTTTTCTAATAACCATAGTAAATTTGATGTAATATTAACCAATTTTATCTTTAAACAAAATGTCATGATTACATTACATTGGTAATACAATTGTACCCCTGGTAATACAATGTTCACTTTAAATTTAAAAAATTGCAGAGAAACTTTATAATAATATTATTAGGCAATTTATGATAAATGACAAACTATTACGAATTAAATCAAAAGAATAAATAAGAAACTAAAATCAAAGTTAAAAAAACCATTAAAGGGTATTACATTTTTCTCAATTTTCGATTATGATCACTTGGATTATATTCTAGACTTTTGCTAATTCATTTCTTCTTGATCACTACTACTTCATAAAACTCTGCTACTTCTATTATAGCTTCTATAATATCTTTTATGGCTCATTATTTGATCAATACGAGAATTGAACGTCTTTTAGGAATTTGAGTAATACAGGAGGTTTCGACTATGCCCATTACACATTGTTGGTAAAAATAACTGAAAAAAGAAAGAGTTTTAAAAAAAGTTGATAAAAAATCAATTATACAGAATGAACTTTAGTGGATAACCAATAACATAATTTATTTGACCGATCGAAAATTTTTTATCATATTGACAAATTGTAATAATCTAATGTTCAAATCACACTTCAAATTTTTTTGGCTGATTATAATGGATAACGAGAAGATATATTTTCTGATCTAAGTAAGTAGCCTTTTTATTAATTTTCATATTAGTGCAATTGTTATAAAAAATAATTATAAATACATTAAAATACTTTACCTATACTTTAAAATTTTTTCTTATATCTCAATAGTACTTTTCCATAATGAATCATTTAAATAATGAACATTTTCAACTCCTATATCCCTATTAATGTTTTTACTACAAATATGACAATCAATATGATTAACTTTAAAATTACCTTTCTAATGAAGGGGTTTTTGTAATAGTAATAATATTAAGAAATACTTACATGTCTTGAGTTGACTTTTTAGTTAAACCAATAGCAAGAGCATGTTCTTTGCCTTCGGCAAATACTCCAACAACTGTATTAGCAGGCAAATCTTCATCCATTCTTGCGCCTTTACTTGTAAGTCCTGGACACATAATATTTGCTCCTGATAAAATAAATTTGATTGCTCCTTTGTCTACCTGCAATTTCGGAAAAACATCGGGATCTAAAAAATTTTTTTTTTTTAGAAAGAAAGAAAGAAAGAAGTTATTATTGTCATTCGCCAATAATGGTTCATTGAAATAAAAGTTAATACATTTATGAAGTAATCTTAAAGTTGGATAGTAAGGTCCATCAAAATGTTGAAAAAATAATATTTCATTATTGACTGTGAGTAAATTAATATGTTCATGACTATATTAGAAAAAAGGAGAAAATTAAATTAAATTGAAGGATCTGAGCTTGCGAATAAAAATTAACATCATAGATGAATTACCATTTTACTAAGGCTAATGAGGACTTTTTTGGCAATATTTCTTCAATTACAGATTCTAATTTAATATATTGTCCTAAAATTTTAGCACGAATATTTCTTTGAACTGACGTTTTTACTAAGGATTGAGTCGCTATATCTTCTTTAATGTTGAACCTTCAGAAGTAGGAAGTAGAAATATATTAATAGACAGTAAAAAGAAGCAAATAAGTGAACAAAGAAAGAAGGAAGAGAGAAATACTTTTTAAACATTGTGAATTTTGTGAAGTGCGTCTACCAGATTGTTCTGGGTTTTTGATTTGAAAATTATTGGCTGATGGTGTTGTGTAATATGATCAATGATCGAACTTCCCAAACTTAAAAAAGGTTAAAGGACGATTTTTGAATTTTTGTCAACAATATGCAAGATCCTAACAAATCAATCGAAATTAGTAGTACCTCGGTATGTTTAAACATTAACAAATGTTTATGCGTGGGCTTAGTCAACTGACACCATTTTTTTCGTAGGTTTTAGATCTAAAGGCAGAACTTTTTAAGCAAAAAGAAGAGTTTGAAAAGCAAAAAACAGCAGCAAACAATCAACCTCTTTCTGCTGTTGCGAGAAAAACAGCAAAGGTTAGTGTAAAAAAAAAAAGGAACAAATTCTCTTTATGTGCCTTAAATGCTTTTCTAAACTAATCTAATTGGAAAGTTCCTTATTTGCAGAAACCAGAAATTTGGGAACGTCAAAATAAGGGAGTACTTGACCGATCGAATCGAGATGAATTGGAGAAGATAGATGCACCAACATTGGAGGCCAGTAGAGCCGCCATGGAGAGAAAAGCCAAATTGTATGATCATCTTAGAAAAACTGGCATAAGTGGTAAGAATATTTAATGGAGAATTTCCTTTATAGTAATCAATTGATCTAAGTTGTTAAAATGTATGTTTAGATGATAGATTAGCGGAAGAAGTTTTAGTAGATTTTGATCGAAAAATTTGGGAACAACCATCGGTAAGTAGAGTTATCAATATAAAATATTATATTTTAACCGTCTATTATTAACTCCAATTAGCTATGTTAATTTATTTATAGGACGATAAATCTACAGAGAATAAAGGTAAAGGTGAAGATCCCTGGGTAGAATATGTAGATGAATTTGGAAGAACACGGTTGGCACGAAAAAGTCAAATACCCAAAATTGAATCACCAGTCACCGGGTAAACTATTATTATTTTTTTTATTTTTACTTAATTTTTATTAATTTTTTTTATAAAATTAGGCCAACATTACCAATTGTTGAAGATGAATTAATATCGGAAGAAACGTTATTAGAACAAGTTCGGCAGCGTTGGGAAGAAACTGCCAAAGCAGAATTGAAAAGTACGTAAATAAAATCTTTGCAAAAATTAATATCTAAATTTAATGACAATCTTTTTTTTGTTTATTATAGGGGGTGTAGGTCCCATTCATTACGATGAAACGAAAGGTGTGCATCTGAATTTGTGAATATTTTGATTATTTTATACGGGAAAAATTAATAATTTTATTGTAATCTACAGAGATTCGCACGAAGGGTGTTGGTTTCTATCGTTTCTCCAAAGATGAAGAGGAACGTCAAGAACAAATGACTGCTTTAAAGGAGTTGCGTCTTGAGGTTAGTATGAAATATAAAATCAATTTAGGAAACCTTTTATTTACCTTATTAGTAATTTATTGTTTTTAGACTGAATTAAAACGAGCAACGCATCAAACCATCAAAGAAAAACGAAAAGCACAATTAGATGCTAGGATGGAAATGATTTGTGCAAAAAGACAAAAAAGACTAAAAAAACTAACGAAAACCGAGTCGACTTCTATACAACAAGTCGACATCACTAAGACATCATCTATATCGCCATCTTCACCAAAAACATTAATAACAGCTACATGTTCAACAACGGAAGAGGACACTGCAAGCAAAATCGTACAAAAACCTTTGAATAACATTGACGCTTCTAATTTATTATCAAATCCTGAACAGGCAGTAAATGATTTATTGTCAAACATTAGAAGACAAGTAGAACAAAAAAGAAATGGAAAGGTTTCTTAAGAATTATTTGAAACTTCTAGGAAAGTTATTTCCTTAATTTAAAGTTTCTATATTATAATTCCGTAAATAATTTCTGATAACTGCTATATATTTCATTTCCTAGATCATTACAAATAAGATAAAATAAAATAAAATAAAATAAATTTTTTTTTTAAAGATATTTTTAAAGAAATTTTAAAGATATTGGGAACGGCTCAGCTCTCTATCGGATTGTACTTTGTAAATGCAAATAAATTAAAGATAATAAATTTATTCCCAAAAATGATTTGTACTTTTTATTTTTGATTATACGATTATAAAATATTCATCCAATTAACTTCGAGGTTATGCTTCCTTTGTTTCGGAATGAGGTTTAACTTCATTACTTTGATTATTCATACGAGAAATCACAGCATCAGCGCCCAAATAAATGATAAAGGCTCCAACACCCCAAGGAAGACCAGGCCAAGTATGCCTTAGCGAATTACGAATAGATAATTGTGGGGTATTACGCCAGGCTTCACGTTTAGCCCAAGGATCGCGTAATTTTTGAATAGACATTTTTATTGTTATTATATATAAAAAATTTTTTTTATAATTCGGTTAGAAAGATTAGGAGGTTTAGAAATTTCTGACACCACATATCAACTTTCTTAAAAGGAAATTGTATAGAAAATCCTAATTTAAAACCTGAATAAAAGGATTATCATATTATTTATTTCAATCTGTATTCATTTAGCTTTAAACATCACGAATTAATTTTTAAAAAAGGTTTTTACACATTCTGTAATTAACAGATAAATTTCTTATATCTTCGTAATTATAACTTTAATATCGTTTTTTAATAATAGTATAATAAAAAAAGAAAGTTTAATAATAGTCAATAAAAAAGTTTATTTTAATTTAAATAAATACCTTTTTTTTAATATAAACTTATCTTTTTACTCTATACAGTATTTTTAAAAATGTTAACATAAAAAAATTATTTATTAGGTATAATTTATAATTTGCAAATTACTATTCAAAATTGAGGATATCAATATTAAGAAATAAATTAATGCTGTAAAATTTATATATTAACTTATATTATAAAATACATTTTTAAAGATATTAATAATAAGAATATCTATCTGAATTTAAATAAGTATTTTTTTTTTTAAGTATCTATTGTATTTTTAGGTAAATTTAAGAATAAGTAATGATAGTCATGATATAAATAAAAAAAAATATATATCAATATATATATTAATAAATAATAAATAAAAATAAATCTTATTAAAATTAGATATATTCAACAAATTTTTTAAATAAAAAATAAAATTATAATGATTTTGATTTTTGATTTTTAATGATATATTTAAAATTATAAATTTGAATTTGTTTTTTTGATATTTAAAATATTGATATTTAAAATATAAGGATTTTATTATTTATTAAAAGTTATGAAAATTAGAATGATAAATATTATAGCCTTTGTGAACTGATTTAAAACCTTTAAATAATTTGATCTGAACTAAAACTTTTTAATTTAATCTAAAATTTAAGATTATTAGTATTTGGAATTTAAATATGATATAATATTTGGTAAATTTACATTTTTCATAATATTTTAAAGTATTACATTGTAAAACTATGCAAGTTTATGAGTTTGTAAGATTTATGAAATATTATGATAAAATCTACATAGAGTTGCAAATTATATTTTTTATATAATATTATAGTCAAAATTCTTTGTAGAATTATGATATCAAAATTTACAAAATATTATAATGAAATCTTATATAGGGTTATGGTATCATAATATTTATAAAATTTTATAGTAAAATCTTAAATAGTTTATAAAATTATGGAATATTATAGTAAAATTCTACATAAGGTTACAGAATCATACGAAATCTTACATATGGTTATAATTTTCTATTATAAATTTAAAATTAGTGATACATAGATTATATTATTTAATATGAGCAATAAGTATATACTTTATATCTTTTATTGATTAATATATATTTTAGCTTTTAAGAGATATATTTAATTGCATATGTCTTAATAAAATAGTATTAAATTCCTACGTTAAAATCATGATCTTTTGTAATTCAAATAATGATATTTTTTGTTGATGTTTATAACATTTTTAGTGATTTTTTTTTCATAATGAATATATATTTGATAAAGCTTTGAATCAAATCAGATCAACTTGTAACCTGATCTGATTTGACTTAAAAAATTCAAGTTGAGTAGACAAATTTCCAGGTTAAAAAATTAAATTTTAAATTATAAACATTTTTGCAATTATATTGACCAACAAATTATTTTTATCTTTTTAATTACTTTAAAAAGCAATTTAAGTATTTAGGTTAAAAGAAATCAACTTTGGTCGCATAAGTAAAGTTGTTTTGCGAATTCTAAAATATATAAATATAAATTTTATTATAATTGAATTAATAGTTGTAAATTTATGTAAGTTTTTCATAATTGTATTATCTCATGAAAAATTTTTTATTTTTATTTTTATCTGTACAGTGAGTTCAAAGAGCAATTTAAGTATTTTAGTCAAAAGAAATCAACTTTGGTCACATAAGTAAATTTATTCAGTAGGTTCAAAAATATGTGTATATAAATTTTAATTTTATTATAATTGAATTAATAATTATAAATTTATGTATATTTTTCATAATTATATTATCTCACACATTTTTTATTTTTATTTTTATGACTTCAAAGAGCAATTTAAGCATTTTTATCAAAGAAAATTAACTTTAATTGCATAATTAATGTTGTTCAGTAAATTTGAAAATATATGCATATAAAATTTTTTATAATTGAATTAATGGTTATAAAATTATAAATGTTTTTTGTAATTGTATTAGCAGTTATCTAATTTGCAGATTTATACAAACTTGTAATTTTAAATTTGCAGTTAAAATATTATTATATTAATAATTTTTTTTTGAAAAATATTTAAATATAAAAATATATCAATATTTTTTTATATTTTTTTAAAAAAATATTAAACAAAATTAATAATTGTTTAGTTTATTATTAATTATATTTGAATATAAATATTGTTAAACTAGTAAAACTAAAAAATTCCTTTATTAGATAAGTCAAGTCAGGTCAGATCTGATTAAATATATATTTAATTTAGGTTAATTTTATATCTAACATGATCTGACCTTATCAGATCAGATTAAATCAATTATCTAACCCAACCCAACCTGTTCAAAACTAAAATTTTTGATAATTGGATTACTGATTTTAGTTAAAAATTCTCATGTTCTTTTTTATATACATTTTAATTGTAAATCTGATATAAATTTACTTACTTTCCTTTATTTTCATTCTTTAATGTAGATTTATATTTTCTCAGGTGTAGGTACTATTTTGAAGATTATTTATATGGGACCTTTGCAATAGAAAGGGGGGAAACTGCCGGAAAATTAAAAAATGAGTTAATGCTAAATTTGAACATATTTCAGCCTAAAAATCATATTTGACATATAAAGTAAAATTGATTTTTTCTGGCAGTTTCCCCCCTTTCTATTGCAAAGACCCTATATATAGCTTTTAACATGAAGTATATCATATAATTTTTATCTTTAGTATTTCCACTTTTTTCTAGAAGAGTTTATATATTATTTCATTTCATGTATTCCTTTTAGCTAGTTTCCTTTTCTGTCTATTTATAATCTTAAAGTTAGCTTTTATGTGATTATTTTTGATGTTTAAGTCATTAGACATTAAATCACTCTTGATATAACGTTTAATAGTTACCTATTCCTTCTTGACAATAATGAGCTTTTCTATATTATTAGAATCTGAGTTGGATAAAATTTCATAGTTTTGTATATTATAGAGTATTATTCTATAAGAATTTTTTTTATACCTCCTAATGTATAGGATATTAAATATTTATTTTTTTTAAAAATCAAGTTATAGTTTCAGGATTACAAAAAGATAATTTATTTTTGAAGATTATTTACCTTTTATTCAAAAGTAAATAGAAGTAAAATAAAAATATTTATTTGAATTTTTTTAATCTGATATATATTTTTTTGATTCTTCAGAATATATTGAAATTATTACTTCACTAAATCATACTTTATTATGATAATTACTAGTAGCATGTATTATAGCACTATTTTCTAAAATCACTGATCCATATATTTTTCATCAATTATTAGATTTTGAAGTAATTCAGATAATAATCTAGATAACCCTTAAAACTTGTTAAGCTTAACTTCCATTCTATTATCAATTGTAATAGGTTCTTGTTTTGTTAAAAAATGTATTTGCATTTTATAATAAAAATTTGAAAAGCTTTTCAGAAAAGTTGTATGAACATAATGATTTTATTAATATTGCTATTTGTCAAGAGAATATATGTAATATTGGCTGATATTTTATCTGTTAATATTTAATATTATATTTATTATTAATTATTAATTATTCCTTAGATTGTCTAGCAGGCAATTGCCTGCAAAATTAAAAATAATTGTTAATTTTTTTATAAAATATTAAATATTAGTTTTAGTAATATTATTACTATATAAAAATTTTAATTTAATATATATTTTATCAACTTTATTAACAAAGATTTTAAGTTTTTTAAAAGGTTTTTAAAATAATTTAATCATAAAATTAAGTTTCAAAAAATTTATTATAATTTTTTAAAAATTCTTAAAAATTTATAAGTTTGCATACTAATTAAATCACTTTATCATTAATTTAAGTCATAAAATTTCTTAATAAATTATAAAAATTATAATAATAAAAGTTTTTCTTTATAAGTAATTTTATAATATTC